AAGGGGCACTTTCTGGGTGTAATATTCCACATAGCTGGAACTACGAGTAGCAAGGGAGGTACATCATATTTCCTCAAAGGGGAAAACATTTGGTTTTGGTTCCCAATGAGAACAATCAAAAAAACCCAACCAACCCAAAACCAAAACCCAACTAAAAAAACCCCAACCCAAGGTGTAAAAGAACTCAAATCAAAATGGCTACAAATAGAGAAAACGGGGTGTTTTCAGTCTGCTTAAGAGGCCTGGGAAATGCTTTTGGTGTTACTGTGGATATTCACAATAATATTTATTAGCTGACCATCACAGAACAAAAAAGGTTAACTTTTTCAAAGACAGTTTGGCACAGACTGCCAGAAATTTGACTGCAAGCAATAGTACTTTTAAAATCTAATCTGTGAGAAGTGCTTAATGGCTATCTTAACACAAGAGCAGAGAAAAGATTAATTCATTATCAGTGCTCAAGGATGATGTACAACATCTGTGAACATTTAAAAAGTTAGATTTAACCAGCAATGCCACAAGCTCAATAAGGCAGCACACAGAATGACCTCAGATTACTGAATATGGGCACTTACTGAATGATAAAAGCCCCTTTTTATGTATGAAAAAATTAAGTTATCTTCCAACTGATACTTCTTACAAGGAAAATAAGCCTTTAATCACTTGATAGAACATTCATCTGCTTGGCAAGACATTTAAGAGTTTTAGCAGCATGGTTGAACTCCCAATTTGGAATAAATTTGTCCAAATTAGCTCTTCAACTGATCTAACACAACCAGCGAACAACAGCCACATTTCTTGCACACTTACGCTGATAACATGCTTTAACGACTACTTGCTTCAAAATGTATTTCAGAGTTAGATAGGTGATGCTTTCAGATACGTAAATTTAGAATGCCATACTCTTCTAAAAGCTTGAGATGAATACAATAGTCCAAGACTCAGTGTTGCTACCACTGTAAACAACATGCCATGCAGAAATTAATTTTTCCTTTAAATAAAATACCAGCAGCTGTCTATTCCTTTGTTTTTTATTGAAGACTGGTTTCCATATTTAAGCTTTGCAGGGCTGCAAATAAATTCAGCAGTATATAATGGCACAACACAATAGAACAAAATCTGTAGGCTGGTAATTCTTATATATTATTTTCTAAGAAAGATAATTAGAAGCTTTCCACCTGAAAGACAACTACACAAGGCAAGAAACCATTAAATTTACTGGAAGGGGAAAAAAAGAGCCAAAATAAAACAAATACATACAAGATTTTTAATTCCTCAAGCCTTACTGCTACCACTCCCATATGTGTATGTATACATATATGTATTTTACATTTGCTCAGGTTTTATTTTTTTTTGTTTTTTTAAACATTAACAAAACTATATTGACACAGAGACTACTTTGGTTTGAATGTCTAGATAAATCAAAGACTTCTGACTGAAAGAATGCAGGAAGCTGATATCCCTGCTATTTCCACAGTAGACTAATGTATCTCTGTATTAAACAAATGTTTGTATTTTTTCTTCAAGTAGGTGACAAAAAATAATTTAATTTTATTCTAATTAAATCTGCTCCCAAACTGGGAGTGTTTGGGAGGATGTGACATCAAGTTTACAAGTATGTCTGATTAAACAAATTCAGAAAATTATTCTTGAACTTTTATATGATAATGTGGCAATAAAGTTGTCAAAACTGGCAGTAAGAAGACATAAAGGCTTAAAACTGCAAAGCTTTCATAAGGTATGTGATAATGTGAAATACTTACAAGGCAAGCATCTTCCATTCTGTCTCTTCCACTTTATCAATCAGTTAGTGCTATATATATACCAGGTAGCCTGTCTTATTAGTAACTACTTATGCAAAATAGGTCAAAAACACAAATAAGAAGCAATAATAAAATGTAGGGTGGGAACTGACATTTGGTAAAAAAAAATTCTTTGTACACTGGTCACTATAGTGTGACAAATTATATGGGTGTGACTAACTGGTTTAATGCAGGAGAGTTTAATTTAAAGAACAAATAAACAAACTGTGCATTCTTTTACAGTAACAATTAGAAAGACCAACCAGTTACTTCCTTCTCTTTGCACAGAATGCAGGATGAGCAAAAGAACAGCAAAAAATGAAAGAGTCTAAAGAGAACAGAAAACCCTAACCCTTATTTTCCCCCCCTTATATCAAATTTGCAAAATTAATTCCTTCCTAGAATTCTGTTACCTTACCAATAAAGAAATCAACAGCTTGTTAGACCAAAACTAGGAGGACCATGCTCTTTTTCTCTTGCAAAACCAAGTTGAAAGAACAATTAAGTCAAACGAAGAATGAAAAGTTTCAACTACTGCACCTCCTCATAAACTCCAGACAATTTTTGCCCTGCCCCCGCAGCTGTGTGAAAGACCCATACAATTAACAGGATAGACTACATGACTCACATACTTACATGTGGGAAACTAGCAAGGCAAATATATATGAAACAGTTACCAAGCACAAAGTAAACACAAAAGAAAAATTAGAGGAAAAAATATATCCGCTAATCTTTCAATAAAAACAAATCTTAAAGTTTTATAATAGTATGTGAAACAGTCTAAGAAAGAAGAAAAAAACGAGGCAATGAAGTTGTTCTACACTTTTCAGTGGGAAAGTACTGCCTGCACATTTGATTTCCAACAAAGCAACAAAACCCACCAATGCAGTTGTGGAATAAGCCCTAGAACAGAAACCTTTAAGCCATGGGGATTTTCTCCATAGTTCAACAGACCTCCTAGGACTTCAGGACTGAAGCCTCTTGTATCTCTCCTGTAGAGCATTTCCTTCTCTCTGAAGTAGCTTAACCAGGAACTCTGAAGTTCTTCAGTACCTTTGCTTGGTTTTAGATTTCCCTCCTCAAACTCAGAGCTTACTGTATAAATGGAGATGATTTACAGCATGCAGAAACAAATCGTCTTACTATGTTTTATTTATTGACATTTATAAAGCTTCCTGAAAGAGAAACATATACATATTAAGTTCTCTGCAATTAAAGACAAAATTTGCACAAAAAAGTTACAATCTGCTCAGTTAGTATATTCAGACGATAGTGAGCAGCATGAGTCCATTTGTAATATATGTCACATAATTTAAAGAAACTAAACATTTCCTTCTGCTTTGGCTCACCAAAAGGCTATTTTATTCTGAAGCAGCTAAATATGCTTAAATAGACATGACTACAAGAACAAGACAGACTGCACAGAAGCCATCTGATTTCAGTTTTGTTTATATTTGTTATAAAAAAAAAGAGGTACCTATTCCAGTCCAGTTTAAATGAAGATGCACATTTGCAGTACCAAACCAAAATGTTCTCAGCCAAGGTAATTTCAAATTCTCATTACATTTATTACTAATGCAGGATTTACTTTGGTATACTATGTGTGGCTTCTATCCTTTCAGAAATCAAACTGCCAAATTAATTACCCTGTCTATAATGAAGTAAAAAATTTAAGATAACAATTCAATATGGTCAACCCACTTCCAAATTTGCATTAGTCCTCTGTGAAACATTAACATACTGGAGAAAAGGGACTCAAGCAGTTCTTAAAGTAAATACAGTAATTAAAAAAAAACTTTGCTAGATTTCAAGGCAACAAAAGAAATTCACTATTTGACCTCTACATAAATAAATGCAAAGATGTCTTGCATTATCTTTGTTGATTCTGTACAAGTTTCAGTAATTATTTTTATTTAAATATAACTCTTACAACAATTTAATCCATGATCTTAATGAAAATGAGAAGTAAAGGTTGACAGTTCTAATATAGAACATGCACAACAGTTACCTTAACACTGACTAAACAAGGAATGGCATATAAAAAGATTAAGAAATTATATATTTTAAACTGAAGATGTTTTATCTCAGATTCACTATGAAGATGACTTTTGCAAGATGACTTTTATCCTGTAGTATGCAACTTCATTCTCAACTTGTACGCTTTGTTTGGCAGGTAATCACAGCAAAATTTACAGAATAATTGACTTTGGCCTTGGTCTTACAAAGACTTATTTACACACTTGAGATGAATAAGCATCTTCTTCCCTTTAAATGCTATACATGTGTTCAAGCTTTAAGCCTGTATTTGGATCTACAAAATCCTGCAAGATAAAAAGTCTCTCAAATATACATCTTAGACCATTAGGGTACAGTGTCTTTATATATGCAAAGCCATCTTTTGCTACATTACCCCGACTCTTCATCACATAGACACCTCTAGAAAATGAAGCACTCACTTCCACAGTTAACTCCTTGGTGCTGATCGGTTTGACTGCTGAAAGCAGCTATTAGTCAGGAGGGGTGAATCAAATCATTGTGCAAGAAGAGATTAACAAGCCTCAAGTAGCCCCCAAATGTAACCAATCCTGTAAATAAGAGATACATGTCCTAGTGAACATTAAGTAAATATCGTAAATTGCATGTGGGAAGACTGCAGATGCTCAGTAATCACACTCTCATATGCTCAGCATCTTATTCTTTGGAGTTTGTGTCATTAACTGAACATCTCAAATAAGATCAATTTTGGCTGGAGATTTTTAAATATTTTTCATTTATTTATTTTTTAAATTCTAGTTCTTGAAGGCCCACTGCCAATGGCAGATTGTTTTAATGGAAAAACAGATCTCAACACCAAAGAGTTAATGCTGTCTATGCATCACTGAAACAACTCAGAATATAACCAAGGTTTAAAAATCCTTCTGTTTGTCTTGTGACAATCTAGCAACAAGACAGAATTTTTTTCTCAGTTTAAGATTTAACCCATGTCCAAAATGAATGTCTGCTATAAAGAAGGCAGTTATTCCTGCCACCATTACAATTCCCAAAGCACTGGTTAGTTCATAATTAAAAGAAAAGTAAGGTACAATTGCAAACCTGTACATGACTTTTTACAGAAGGCCTCACTGTGGTAAATTATATACAGCATAGTGTTCTCGTTTTCCTTAAAGTGCTACTAACATCATACCGATACAAGATCATCTATTGTTTTAGGAGGTCTTTTAGTACAGCACCAGCACTGGCATCAGCGGACACTGGCAGTGGTGTAAAAGTAGGCAACACATCAGAAATAGGTTTCATAAGCAGATGCCCAGAACTACTAGCAGGTGTTATGAGAGGCACTGCTGCAGATCGAGGTGCTAAAAATGGATTTGTATCTGGTCTTCTGCTCATTCCCAAGACTGCAGAATCTGAAATGTAAAAAAAAAAAACAACCAAACAACAAAATGCCACCAAAAACCCAACAACAAAACCACTTTGTTAGAAAGCATTCATAAATCTACCCAATTTTATAACATTTTTTCACAAACAAGTTCTAAAATTGCTTATTACTTTTGCAACATTAAAATCCTGTCTTCTTGCAATGGACTGTAGATGCTCTCAAAGATTTTCACTATACCTTCTCTCATCTTGGATCTCATCTGCCACTGCTTCCTTTGCTGAAGAATTCAGGCCACCAGTTAAAAGACTGATTTAAAGAGCAGGGCGCTCCCAGGACCTGCCAACCATTCTGCACTTGTTGGCAGCTGAAATTCAGTAACAGCTCAGGCTACCCAAAAGAATCTATATATAATCTCTGTGACAGGCAACATGAACACTCTTTGCCAAGGTTCACTTCACGCATGCAATGTCAGACATGAAATATCTGTCACGTTGATTCCAGCACTATGCAAAGGCATAAAGGCCCTTGTGCATGCACTACAATGCAGCACACAGGTAGGTTTCCCACCCCATGGTGTATTGGTACAGCTTCCCCAGGGATAGACCCAAGAAAACCCCTGTAAAAAAATGCCACTGACAGTGAGTCACAAGTTAGTCTTGCGACAAAACTTAATGTTCGCTCATTAGTCAAATTCTAACAAAATTCTAATCTTAATTAAGAAAAATATTAATAAATATTTTTTTAATCTAACAATCGACTTGCCCCTCCTCACTTTGCCCCATCAAGTCCTCGCTCAGCTCCACATGTAACCTGTTCTCAAGGTTCCTACAGCAGATGTAAACCAGAAATTAAACTGACATTCCTGTATCATACTAATTGTTTGGACACATGATTGTATTCAGATTTTTTTTTTTAAAAAAGGTCTTTCATCATGTAAACATCCTAATTCTCATAAATGCATTTCTGTGTGGATATTATACTGACATTTGTGTCCAGCACTTAAAAACTGCTACCGTATTGTTCATTTCTAGGAACAAAAAACTTAAAGGAACCAAACAATTAAAGGGATATATAATGAGTGTCTAGGTTTACAAGTCAGCAATTTAGCTCCTGAAGGGGTAAAAGGGACCAAGAATTTAGTTCTTCCAGACAAGGAAATTGGTTTTTTGCCAACTAAAATAGGTACTTTACCTATTATATTACTGTTATACTACAAGGAAGAAGAGTAAAAAGAAAATTAAACTTAATTTAGATTTATTTAAAAAAAAAAATACTGCTTTCAGAGATAAATTGGTATTTCACAGTAGACGTTTATACTTTGTAACACTGAACTACTTTAGGTGAATTGAAAGAGGGTTTTTTAGCATATATATCTTTCCCTGGAGATCTATATAACAGGTTTTGGGGGTTCGTGTGGTTTTTTTTTTTTGTATTAAGTTGAAGTCTTAAATGCATGTAAAAAAATTAAGTACAAACTGGACCAGTTAAACTGAAGATTTGCATCTTACATTACTTAGACAAAAGTGCATTAATTTCAACACACATAATATAAGCATAATTGTTCTCTGCCTTAGAAAAATCAAAGTTAACACTCATGCACAGCTTACAGAGATTTCGAATCAGGCCATATACTTAACTGACTTTATTTCAGTCCTCTCTGACCAACCAGATTCTACATACCAGAGATGCACTACAAGGTTGGTATTACTTGCAAATCAGGACTGGGTTCACTGATACACCATATGGAGTTGTCTGCACAGCATCTGTTTGGCTCTAACAGGTGCTGTTAAAGCCTTTCCATATCAAAGGTAATTTGGTCCCTGCAATCTTCTGTACTGAGATTTTAGGAAGTGGGGTATAGAAGCAGTGAAAAGGAGGGGTGGGGGAAGAAGAAAAAGAAAGAGAAGAGAAAGTGGGAAATTGGGGGGGAAGACATCAAATTCATAGTTCATAAGTGAGGAAGCACGTAATCATTGAAATCCCCTTGAAAATTCTACCTTTAGTTATTTATGTTCTGTGTAAAGATTTAAATTTTCCTTCAAATGTTACCTTGCGTTTGACTGTTGGATGGAGTACTGCTAGTTTTACCAGTTCCTGCTGCTCCTAAAGGTTTCATATCTTGAACAGAGAGCTTGGGTGGAGGAAGGCTTGGGCAAGATTCTGTTTCGAGGAATTTCACAAACAATTCTGAAAAAGACTACAAGAGGCTACCAGTTACTATATTTTATTGATGCTCTGTTGAAAAGTACGTAAGTTAAAAATACATATGTACAGAAAACAAAAAGCTGTCAACAGCCTCCAAAGATTTATATACTGGTACTTAGTACCAAGTACTAGTACTTGGTACTAAGTAGTCCTTAGTAAGTGACAATGAAATTTACTTTCAAAATACGCTGTTTTTTATTGTCTCAGTAAGTAGTATCTATGTGAAATTGATACACTCTAAAGATAACAGATATACTTCCACCATAGTTCCATTACTGATTTAAGCCAGTTGTTTCAAGAATCCCATGCTGCTACTGACATCACAGTATTTTCTGCATCCATGGCTCAAACAAATCACTCCTTCAGAAACACATAAAACTTAAACATTTCTCTTAAAACGCATTGCTTGATTTGACAAAAAGTCTTGAATAAAGGAAGCATGGAATAATTAAGGTGTCAGTAGCATCACAAGATAAAATTTTGCTTAGTAAAGCCTGTACTATACACACAAAAGCATTAATTTTCTTCTTTTACATCTGTAGTTAATCAGACCACAATCCTCTGGTGGCCTAAGTACCTGCGTTATTTTAGTGGGCAAAAAAAAAAAATCCCTACTCTTCAAGATAATTTACAGGCATAAATTCTCAACATGCTTTTCTAGCTCAATGAGCAAAAAACCAAAGTTAATCCAAAAAGCCCAATCCCTCAGTGCTCTATCCTTAAGTGTATTATTTACTGGCCTGCAAAATGGAAAGTTCCATAGATAAACTGCTCCCATGGATCATGCTAAGAGAACTGTTGCTTTACAGTATTTGAAAAATTAAAATATCAACTTTATATGCTGTACCTAAGAGGAACGAGCTTCAGCAGCTGAGAAAGCTTTTCAAATGAAATTTAAAGGACATATGCGAACAGAGTCATCAAAATACAATGTCATGGTCTTCTGTATTGTTGACTATTGCAGAATTCCTGACTTCCACATGTATTTAACCTCCAGTACCGTCAGTTTGCAAGATAAAGTCCATACTGTAAGAAGTCAGGGATCCCAGGAACCGGTGGAACAGTAACTAGATTTCTGTATTAGCCCAACATTTAGTATTGTATAATTTTCACCAATGCCTACATATTTATTTAGTGCAGAAAAAACCCTTATGCCAAAGCAGCTGCACAAAACAAATAATGCAAGATACAGTAGCATCAGTAAATGAAGCTCAATATACTGTTGAGTCAAACATAAGCATTAATATGCAACTGCCCCATTTTTACCACTCAAACATAGAGAATGCATGACTAATTCTTACACTATTAAAAACGTTCTGATGAGTTGGCCTCAAAGGTGTACTAGGGACACTCTTTGACCCAGTTCCTCCACCAAGCCAGCCAGTCACCCATCTCGTAACTCCTCTTTGCTCTTCAGATAATAACTAGAAAGTATTAAAGAAAAGTTAGGAAACCAACACTAAAGCAGCAGGTAAAAGAAACTGCAACACTGTGCTCATTATATTTATTCACCATAACTATGTGGGAATCCTACAGATAAATAAAAATTTTAATTACTGTCAAAACCTTATTCTCTGCCTCCCAAAGACTGGCAGTCTAAAACAATGGCGCTCTGTTTAAAAATATAAGCCCCACATTCTTCACAATACCTAATGGTACATACAGAACTGGCTTACTTTTCTGTAACTGATATATTACATTTATTATACATAATAGCACAAAGTTAAATCCCTTCCTTTCTGCATTAGCATTCCTCAGTAAAATGAGATCCATTTTATTAAAATAATGTTATCAAAAGATTCCATTAAGATCAGCATGTTCTGCATAAAAAATTAATTCAGATGAGAGAACAAAAACCATACTTTCCCCACAAGAAGTGCAGAGACAGTCACATTTAGTTTAGCAGCAAGTCATTCTACTTTCAGGTAAGGATACCACAAATAAAAAAGGAAGTCTAGTTTTCTGCAAAGTATTACCTGATCAAGTTCTTCCTTTTTTATTCCCAAGATACTTCCCATTAACCTTAACACTTCAGGACGTTTATTTTTTGGAGTATGAAAGTGTCCAACAAACAGATTTCTCATTAGGAGCCTGCAGAACAAAGGAAGCTTGTTATACCTGCTCTTAGCTAACAGTTGATACTGTAATGTTGATGCAGTTATTCCTCATACTCTTGCCTAATTTACAATAATCCAAGTAAACAAATCTAATACAAGGAACTAAAAGGGTACCTCACCAATTTCCTTTCGTACAAATTATATTTTTTATACAGCAAGTGTCAATTTGGACAGCGTTAGAAATATTGTATGCAGTAAGGTGAAACCAAATTGTACACAAGCAAATTTTTATGGAAGTACGACAATCAGGGAAAATGTTTATTCTAAGATCTTGACTCAGAAGAGCATTTAAACAGATACTTATGTGCAGTCCCAAATCAAGATGTAAGGAAGGCGACAGGGGAACCCATTTGCCTGTCCCCATTTCAGTTCTAATGTGTAAAGAGAAGAAAAAAAAAACCAAAAAGACCAAGGAAGACAGATTTACACAACATCCAGGTGATGCTAGCTACATGAAAGGGTTTGTTGTTCACACCTGTAACAGACATTCATTAAGAACTTCTATCTCCATTTGTAGAGCTCATGCTATTGAAGCACACTTCTACTTAAGAAACACATCAGTAATCCAAATTTAGATACACATTGGTTTTACCAATCAAAATTACTATTTACAACCACCAAACAACTGAAAAATGCCAAAATAATTAAAGTATAATTACAACATCACATACAGAAGCCCAGTTCTGCACTACTCTTACAACTGCGTCAGTCATGTATCTGTACACTGTGAGGAACGTATACATTTTTTTGGTTTTTGAAGACTTTCATTAAAGACTTACTTGTCCACTTTTCCTTCTGTGCTGTTCATAAGATTCATTAGTTTATTTTGCACATCTTCTAACATTTCTCTTCTGATCTCACCTATAAAATGTTATGTCACAAAAAATAAACAAAAATTGAAACTTTGAAACTTTGTTGCAAGATTTATTAATAATACACACATTTTAAAATAAAAATATGCTAATATTGTTACGGTGCTTTTTTAAAAAAAACAAAGTCAGCTTTACTTTTTATAAAAAAGTGTCAACTTAATAAGTCTTATTATTTGAAGTCATAAGCTGAAATTTCTGGAACGATACTCAATGCTAAAGTACAGGAACACACAGAAAATAAATCAATTGCAGAAGGTCTGATGAACTGTTCTGTTGCACCTAGATAATACAGAACTGGAAAGAAACTCTTGATCAAGGTCTATAGTCCTGTGCTGGCAATCTTTTTCATAATCTGCTCAAACTGCATGTTGGCATCAGGTCTTTTGATTTCAGTACTCAACCTCCTAAACTCAGCTATTCTGCATACTATACTACCAGGTTGCTAAAGCTTTGAAGTACTCAGGAGTTCTCCAGTCTCAGCAGCATCCGTAATTTGTGGGTCTCTTCTGTTAGGACCCTTCCCCCTCCTGTTAACCGATGCAAGCTCTGGAAACAGCACGCTGGGACACATTAACGCATCCTAGAATCACTGCTGTGCTTCACAATTCAGTATACTGGCAAGAAAGGCTCTGCAGAGATTTTTTCAAGATTCTCCATACTTTTGGGTATGCAAACATTCAGTTAAAAATGGCAGAGATGAAATGCCACAGCTACTATGAACCAAAGACAAAACTAAGAGGAAAATAGCAAACACTTTCAGTCAGGCATTATGGCCTGCAAATTAAGTGAACAGGCCAGTATTGTAAGTTAATTAATATAAGGTTGTCTAGGAGTGTGCTAGGAGTCACTACACAGAGTTTCTGCCTTTTTGTGCACACTGACTCCAAGTTCTGATACTGTTCTGTAGTGGCTGCAATGAAATCGGTTCATCTAGGATATCACAACACCGATAACAACATTCTTGGCCTACACAAAGGACTCTTTTTCCTCTCCACAAACCTGAAACAGGAACTATTAGAAGAGAGGAGTTTAGATTCTGCATTCACTAGTGCTATAACTTTTCAGCTTTCTGAAATTCCTGACCTTAATCAATGATTTGCCTACTATCTACACACTTGAGCCTCACGACATCAAAGTGCCTAATGAGGGAGATGCAAATGTAGTAGCCTGTTTCATTAAAAGAAGCCATGGCATGATATTGTTATATTCATTCTTGCCCAGTAATTTCACAGCACCAACTTCTCTACAATTCTAAAATTCCACTAACACAAATTACTTGTTAGCTCAAATACAGAATACACCCAATTACCCCAATCATTCTGTGTCAGTAACTCAGGCTTCCTCTGAGCTCCCACAAAACTCAAAAATAAAGCTCATAATAAAGAAAAAAAAATTCTCCTAAAAGTTTCACTTGCCATAAATATTTACAACATTCTGATTATAAGGAAACCAGGTACAAAGTTTTCTCTTTATAAAAATTCAGATATACTAGAAACTGGATAAAAGTATCTGATGTTCAGGTCACAAGTTTATACAAAAACACAGACTAAAAAGTGCTAGAAAAATGTATCTTACTTAAATCCCCAAACACAGGATTTAAGAACACTGGCCCTAAAATGTTCTCAGACAAGAAAATAAATAATTACAAGCTACAAAGAATTCTTAGAAGATAAACTACAAACGGCTTAACCTCAAGACAGCAAAAATACAATTTTTCACCAAACTGAGGTTCTGCAAGATACTCCCTTTGAAGTTACTTTCTTCCCAATGAAAGTACAAGTAAGTCTGAATCACACACAAAAGCTTGACTAATATATTATAACATGGACTGTCCATGTGAAGTACAACTCTACCCTTATAGAAGCAGAAATGATGAGCTTTTCCTCCTCTCCCTCTGTAAGTTGAATGCTTATCTTCAAATCCTATGGAAAAACTGCCGATCAACTTAATTTCCCTACCATTTTAACACTTCTTGGGCTCATGCTAATTAAAAGTGCTTCACTTAAAAAAAAAAAAAGAAAATCCACAAAAGATACACTTTTCTTATATCTATCTTGTAGTTAATTTCTAAAAAGTCTCAACATCTTTGTAAGAAAAGTGACTTTTATAAATTTTTATACCCTTCAAATGATCTGGGATGCATGAAAAACATTCCACTGTAGTTCCCACATGATTTTCAATCTTTAATAAATGCATGCCACAACTATGGTGACACAACATGGTTCTCAATTAACACCAATAACTCTCTTAGAACCTGCACAGAATTTTTATATATATATATTAAAGAGCTAGGCTGTGAAATGGATACAACCTAGTATGTCCTGTTCAAATACTCCACATCTTTATTTAAACATTTTACTTCACAAATACGAATTTTAGAGAGTACAGAGTAGAACAAACTAACTAGTGTCATGCTGGTAAAATTCTTATTCAAGGAACATAAGGATTAAGCTCCTTATTCAAAACAAGTTAAAAACCAAACAAAATTATATATGTTATACCACAATATATCTTGTAACAACTACATCCATATGCACTGAAATCCAATCCAATAATGTGACTGCTCTTCAGCACTTCTCTCTCTCAAAACACCAAGGTGAGGCACAGGAGAATTAATCCATGGTTTCAAGGTTCAAACTTACTTAAAATTATGTTACTTTGTAAATGTGGTTAAATAGGACCCCAATACTTGAAAGGAAACATTTGCAATATAATTATGGAATGATAGCAGTTGTAGGAGCATATGTGGAAGTTGAGGTGTTATTGGAGTCTCCACAGAGTAAAAGGGAATTTAAAAAATTAAACTATTAATGCCACAAAAAGATTAACAAACAGTATCTGAAAACAAGTTTCAAGTAAATCTTATGCTGTTGCTATTGCTCTACAAAGCAAAACAACCATTAGTTTCCTTTTCAGTTTTTATTCACAGGATGAATTTTAAAACATGTATTAATAATTTAAATGTTACTGTTTTCTATTTTTTCCTGGCAGAAAGATTTTGTATCAAAGAGGACCAACTTTTAAGGACAGCTACACAGCTATATTCCATCTAGAGTGACTATGCAACTCTATCATTAAACATATTTTTTAAATGGAATATTTCCTTCTAAAATAGAATGTTGCAGTTGCAAAGGACTTCTATTTCATGTGTATGAAAAGAATGAATAACAAAAAAGACCTGAGCCAAAATTCAGCATGGACTGCTGTAAACCAGACATTTACAACAGTCTCCAATAATTTGTTAACCATTTATGGCAATCTAGAAAACTGCATCTGGTACATCTTATACTTTTCCATTAAAATCACTTTTCCTGCCAAAAAAATCCATAAAGAAATCCTTCAAAAGATTTGGCCAACAAAACTGTGTCTGGGAATGTATTTGGCCAATTTTCAATAAGACATGATATGTTTTCTTGTGTAAATAGAGAAAATGGAGTGGTCTCTTTTTTTTTTCCTCAATAAACATAATACTTTATTCTACAACAACATTAAAGTGTTGTTTCCTTTATGCAACAATCCCTTTTCAATTTAACAAGTAAATCACTTGCCAATACAACATAGCCTGATAAAATAGAGATTCAGTTATCTCTCAAAGTTCAAACCCCTCCTGCTTTCATATGCAAAAGTTTGCAATCAACATTAACCAGTAATGAAGAGCTCCCCATTTAAGAATGCCGTATTTGCCTATGCCAAAGTTAATATCAATTCAGAGTGTTTGAAAACTTTTGCTGTGAATGTCTGTAGTGAGACAGAGATATACAGATCAGTCAATTAAAAAACAAATCAGTATTTAGTTGTACATTCATGTAGCAGTTTGAAACTTAATTTAGCTTGTAAAATTCATATGTGAACTCAGGGAGCACTCCTATGACGCCCACTTGGATGCCAAGTTGCACATAGACACCACTAAATGTAAGTAAGTACAAATTCAATTATGTAGGAGAAAAGTTGTCACTTTGCACACAGAGTTCTTGCTGAAATTGTGAAGACTTTCAAATTACTTTTCGCACTAACTATCCAATCATAAGCAAGTGTGATTTAAGAAAATATTATTTATTTCAAGAGTAAGACAAATTATAATTTAAAAATGAATAGCAATAATTAGTTGCATATGTTCAGAGCAAGAGTTACCACTGCATCCAGCAGAGATTATGTTCCAGGTCTTCCCCCAGCAAGCCTTAATTAAAAGGCATTCACCCAAAAATTTCCCCAAGACATGGGGGAAAAAAAACCCAGAAAATAAGAGCTGTTAAGTAACCACAGAGTCAGCAAACCTCTGCTCTTCAAGCTCCATTTTTAGAGCTGCTTCAGGGACCAATCATAAGTTTTCCTCTGATTTTAGATTTATTCCATGTGCTCAGTGAATGCCTGATCGTAACAGAGGATGGTGCAGTAATAGCAAAATATGGTGACCCACAGAAAGAAAGAGGGAAAAAGAAAGTAGGACTCAGTTGGGAAAATGGAGGAGAAGACAAATGAAGACAATAAAAAAGAAAGAAAAAAGCCTAATATTCCCTCAGCAGTCAGTACTGTTAACAGGTTCACCCATATCAGAACTGTCATGCAACTAGACACAGAGAAGTAACTTTCCCTCTTGGTTCAACGAAACATTGCAGACAAAAATTACAAGTCAAGGCTGAGACGCAAGTACAGAAATCCAACAAAATTATTATTAGTCCTAAGTCCTGCTTTAGCTAATGCTATGACTCCTTTCTCATGAAAATTAAAATTAATACAGTAATGAAAAAGAACAGTGACCTTACATTACTCATATAGCTGTTTTGTGATCTCCAAGTGAGTCTCTGAGCTTATAAATCCTACTGATGTTTGATACTCAAAACACACTGTATAGAAATTACCCTTCATTGTTTTCCATTTGATTAGACTAAAGAGCGTAAGCTCATAAAATAGAAATACATTGAAATAGTATCAGTTTTTAGTGAAAGGTTATTCTGTCTCCTTAGGCTTTCCTATAATTTTAATGCTAAACATGTTTATGAAAGAGAAAGCTACACATCTCACAGAATTCAGGTTTCAGTGATGTCAGAAAGAAAAAAAAAAACAAACAAAAAACCAAAGCCACACCCTGAAACATTCACAGAATCACAAAAACAAAGAAACATTTCTGTTGGAAGGGACCTCTAGATGACCTAATCCAACCCCTCTGCTCAAGCAGGGTCATTTACAGGAGGCTGTCCTGGACCATGGCCAGTTGGGTTTTGAGCATCTCCACAGATGCACACTCCATGCCTCTGGGCAACCTATTCCAACATTTGACCACACTCACTGTAAATATTCTTCCTTTTCAAAACTGTTTCTTCTGGCAAATTCCTCTACTATCTGGCCAAGTATTGTCCTCAAATCCAAAGTAACGACATTCATCGAATGACAGAGTACTTAATCTGACAACAATATGAAAGGCATCTTTCTAAATATGAGTAATCAGGAAGCTTATTTGAAATGAGATCTAAAAATACAATCTAAAGATGTGTCCAAGACCTTCCACATAATCTCTTCAGACAGTCTCATATCTGTGCAAGATCTGCTCACTCTACATCTCTTACCAACAGCACACCCTTTCTCTCTACCTCACTGTATTCCTGTGTTTATGTCAAATATGGAAAAATCTGACATTTGGTATTTCACAAACTTTTTTAAAAGACACTTACAGAGCTAAATCAAGCGCTTTGGTATCTATGGGGAAGAAAAAAAAAGAAAAAGACATCCTGACTACTACAGGGTTTTCTTTTGAGAAAGATCCCTAACAGAAGGTAAACATACTTTCTCAAGTTTGTTTTATAAACAAGGAAGACCTCAAAAGGTGGCACAGAATTACTCTTTTCCTCATAGAAGACGAATTTTGGTAAGTTCCTAGGAATACTAAATTGTTTCCTCAGCTGCTTAGAATGTTTTAAGCAGAGACACAAAAAAAAAAATGTAGTTACCTTCTTTCTTAAGCTCTTCAATCTGCTCCTCTTTGATGTCAAGCTGCTCAGTAAGCCTTGATGCTGCATCCAGTGCAGCATTTGCCTCTCCTAAACTTTCCTGAATAGAGGGCAGGAAAGGGACAAAAAGAGAAGCAAGGGAGTTCACTATCACAATTACACTAATATAACACAGATCGAACATAACAGATGCAGAGACTTCAATCACTTGTTCTTTAGAATATCTGGATTGTAAACATCCTCAGAAAACAGATGGTCAGCAGAGGAATGCTACTTTGCTGACGCTCTTTTACTGCCCCCCTCTCTTCCAAGGAAGAGACAATAATTATGTAACAACTTGATGTATTTTTAGACAGTAACACTTAACACAGCAGTTAAAACCAAAAAATTCTGTCAAGAATTAGCTTCAGTTTCATAGGGTTCAATTTCATTATTTAGCCCACCTGCAGTGATACAACTTTTTCTTCTAAGTTCTCTGCTTTTTTCCTCCATTCTGCAGACTGTTTTTGGTGTTTCTCCAGCTCTGCTGAATACATAGCTTTTTCTTCTAAAGGGTTAAAAATACAAACCAAAAAAAAAAATCTTGATTCACAACATGTAACTCTTTTTAGGATATGCAATTGCAAAACCTCAGCATTATCATATCTGGTCTTCATGAGGCAGAAGGGGAATTAATATTCCATAAATGAGATACTGACCATCAGTTTTCATAGGGACAGAATTCTTTTTGTAAGTTTTTTAAAAGACAACAGATTCTGAAATTCAAGCTATCAAAAAGGAAACCTGGTAACTAATATTTTAAAACCACCAACATATAGTAACTACGCCAGTTGAAAAACGCTTGTTGCAATCTTTGTCATTTCTTGACAAAACTTACCCTGTTGGAACTGCTCTAGTACCATCTGCAGGTTGGCCAGTGACAATGCATACTGCTTCACTTGGTCCTGTGCGATGGTGAGCTGTAGCACAGTTTCATCTCTCTGCTTGGAAACCAGGTTTAACTGCTCTTGCAAAGATTCAACCTGCAGACTAGCTTGATGACTTAATGAAAATAAAATACATTACTTATGAAGACAATAACAAAAGTCATCACAGAGAAAAATTAAACTCCAGCAAAAATAGCCTACCTTTAATTTTTCAACTCAATTTATAAAACTGAAGGCAATTTTTTCCTCATTCCTCTTAAAAAACAACAAAAAACAAACCAAAACAAAAAACCCTAATAACAGACTTTAAATGAGTCTGGTAATAAAATTTTGGCAATCAAAACAATGAACTACGTTTGTTTGAAATGCATTACAAAAAGAAAAAAACAAACCCTTGCTGTTCATTATTGTAATATTATCTTTACCAAAAAAAGAATCCCTATCTTGCTAACTGTCTGCTGCAAATACTACACAAATCAATAGGCCTTTCTAACAATTTTTACTTTTAAAGCCAGTCTCCAGGATCTCAGTATATCTTGCTCCATACTGATCACTGAATGCACCATTTAACTTCCCATTATGCAAAATATTATGAACCTGATTTACTCCTATGCCAGCCTTTTTAAAGAGTGCATATCAGGTGGGAAATAGGCAGTATTTCTTGAAAGGTATTTAACAAGTTTGATGAAGAATTAAGGAACATTCTGATAAACAGTTTTTACACAACTTTCTCCCAACTCTTCCACTTTCTCCACAATTTTTCACATTTTTACATTTCACTCTTCACAATTTTTCAACAAATTCTGCTCAATTCAGAAATCTCTTTGCTAAGAACGTTAAGAGCAGAATCCATCTTTGGCACTTGAAAAAAGAAAGACTGCAGCTACATACATATTTTTTGATTAAAATATTTGTTCATTTGGACAACTGTAATAAGATGAAAAAAGAACTTTGCCTGAAGTAATCAACATTCCTTTAAATAAAGCAGTCAAGATAGGCATTAAGTAATTTTAATACTTGAGTTTTCATTGTTCCGGTTGAAAAATGTGATTATGGCAAATAAATAAAAAACCATGATTGGCTCTAGCCTCCCAGGTTCTGCTACCCATGAGAACTTCAATGCATCTTGCTTTATATATATATATATATATATATATGCTAAAAAGAGAAAATCTTACAGCAGTGTATACTTTCCACGGTATCAGGTATAAAGTAAGGATGCATACTTGTCTCAAAAGTAATTCACAAAGCATCACAGTCACATCTGTGCATTGAAGCATATAAGACTCTTTCAAACCGACATTTTCAAACTAACTTAAAAGTTGTCCACCTTCTTTGATTCGACAGACAACTAAATTGACGGGTTGAGGGATTTTTGTTGCTTCTAGTTCTAAGCACTGTCACAGATGTGAGATTTCAATAGTTGCTACTAAAAGGAGAAATATTTTCTTAAGTTCTTATCAGTAGCCAACATATTTCAAATCACCTTCCTGATTTACAGTAACAAAAGTTCATATCTTTTTGTTCTCTCAAGTGCTTAGCATGTTATAGAATGGTAATTCAGTAAAATAAAGCCATCAGTATCAGTGTAGCTAATGGTGATACTTGCAGCCAATACTACTAGTGTATTAATTAAAAGACTACCTGGCATTCTCCACTGCAGTGGATGAGGACACAAGTTTTTCTTCCAAAATCAAAACTTTCTTTCTTAGCTTCACCTCTCTGTCTTCTGCAGCTAAAGCTTCCCGCGTATAGGAGTCTTCCATTTCCAAAAGGTGATTACGTAACCTCTCCAGTTCCTGATTTAGGCGCTGCTCTTTCTCACGCAAATGCTGTATCTGTGTAGAACATAACTTAGGTTGCTCATGCTATCACCTTTCATAAAAATAATTTGAGCAAACATAAAACATGTCCATTGAAGCACATCACATGTATTGATTTTAAATGCTTTTTACAAGTGATTGCTACCAAAAATAACCAGAAAATATTACAGATGCAATTTCTTATTCTTTTTTCTTTTATTTCTTGCAACTGTAAATCATTCAGTGGTGTACCTCACTCTGCAGGGCACTGCTCTCCATTTGCTTCTGTTTTAGTGCTACCATGACTTGGTCTCTCTCTTGCTGAAAAGTAACAGCCTTTTCCTGCATTGATTTAACTTCATTTAACAGTTGATTCAATTCTCCTGTCTTGCCCTGTTGAAGAAAAAACCAAGCATTTCAAACATGGCAAACAGTTTTACCAAAGAAGATGTAGTCTCTGCCCAGAAGAGCACAGAGACAATACCGATCTAACAAGGAAAAGGGCAGGACACTCATAGCCCTACAACACAGAAAATCATCCAGGGAAAATATTATTCTGAAGTTATTTCACTCATGTGTTACAAGACAAAATAAAAGTTATTGCTAAAAGACACTATACAGATGCATTGTCTTAATTGACTGCTGTGAACAAATAACTACCTATCTTTAGATGAGACATAGGTACTAGGTACATAGTGTCTCACACACCTGTATACTTGAAAATTTCACTTTTCCCCGTGTTTGGAATCTATTCTCTGTGATACCCGTTTATTAGGCCATGCACATGTAAAGCATCAGCCTAGGTAAGTCAACTTGTCTGAACTTAAGAAGACTAAATACATTAAGAAATCTTTAAAAACAAACCATAAGGTGGCCTCACTCCCAAAGATTAGCCTTCAATGAATCACAGCAATGTCTATCCCATTTTCAGATTGCAAATTTCAACAAATAATGTTCCCACTTACACGCAATTTACAACTTTACAGTAGCGTATAAAGGAGAAGTGTATGTCAGTTACACAGAATTCACATACGCACATAAATGCATTTTCAGTTACCTGAAACTTTTCAGCATGCTCTTTAACTTTTGTCTCATACATTGATTTGAAAGCAGTTACTTATTGAATACGTTGGATAAAAGTAAACCAATCTGTTTTTATCACTAATGCTTATGAGCTTTAATTATTTGTTTTTATTAATAAAACTGAATATAGAAAAATTCTTTTTGCAGTAGAACCATAAACGTGCAGGCAAACCTCTTTTTATGTCATGCTATCTTCTGACACACACGCACAAAATACAAAACTGTTTGAATACTATTTTTCCTAGTTCTCCATGGCAAACACAAAGCATGTAACAGGAACTTCTCCAATCTGTGCAAGAAAAATGTCCAGACAAATGTTCCATGCTTGTGAAACTGAAAGCCTGAGTCACCAGTGAGTGAAAGTCTGCCAGCCAAAGACATGCAACATAGAGAATCTAGCCAGACAATGTAGATTTCCATGAGTTAGAAAAACAAAAAACAAAACGCAAAAAACCCACAAAGTAGAGAGTGCGAATTTGCAAAGTATTAGTATATTTTATGTGGGCAAGACTGATGAACATAAAAAGTCCTAATGGCAATTCAAAGCTATTTTTCACAATGTAAGTGTACTTTGAGACAATAAAACTTCTCATTGTATCTCTTCAGTATTTCTTTAGAACAGGATAGGGAAACCTCTACTATGAGCAGAGATAAACATCTGTCCTAAGTCAAACTTCTCAAAAAAACCCGAAAGATACTCCTAGTTTTTCACATATATTATGTCAAAGTTGAGACTTCCAAATGATGAATTTACAAAGACCCATATTGTTAAATGCAATTCATATTTTGCTTTTCCAAATACATTACATTGCAGATTTAGTTGGTAGTTTGAAAATGCTTCAAAGAGATGCGAGGGTGGTGAGGCACTGGAACAAGTTGCCCAGAGAAGTTGTGGATGTCCCATCCCTGCAAGTCTTCACGGCCAGGCTGGATGAGGCTTTGAGCAACCTGGTCTAGTGGAAGGTCTCCCTGCCCATGGCAGGGGGGTTGGAACTAGATGATCTTTAAGGTACCTTCCAGCCCAAATCATTCTATGATTCTATGAATTTTTTTTATTATACTTATAGTAGGGGAAAAAAATTAATGCCAAGTTACTTAGCAATGGCTTGCTTAAATCCCACTCTCTGATAATAGGTAATACTTATAACTTTGGAAAATGAAAAGTGATGCTAAAGGCAACAGGAAGTATAAGAACAGTATGCATGGAAGGGGACAATGGTAAGAGAGACTGAAGAATGGTGACCAGAACCACCAAGACAAAGAGAACGGGGATCTGGACAGTACAGAGGAAAGAAAATTATCTGTTTAGAATTAATTACCAGAAAAGACTGCCCACTAGGACATATTCACTTTCAGAGCCTACAAAGCAAACCAAAAATATCTACATCCTAGAGTTCTGCTGTCAAGTGTTTCTCAGAACTACAGGAAGACTTTTGCACTATGCTTAATGTCTATTTCTCAAAGAGAAATGGCAATTGACACATTACTTCGTTAACTCCAGCAGCAGCAGTTCATATAACATGCTATTGACCTGTGTATCAATGATGCCACATAATTCTTTGCTCTCTTAAAAAAGATTCTTCTTTAATAAGCCACTGCAACTTCTCTCTGAAGATATGCTTTGAAAAAAGTATAAATTTTTCCATATGTCAAGTTACAGAGAAGAACGCAGTATTTTAGCTTGCCCAATCTTTTCTCTTTTTTTGTAGTGGAGTCTCTCCAGTCATAAAAGCAAGACACAAACCCGTTCATCTCACAGTGATGTTGTGAAGCAATCACACCGGAATGACAAACACTAAAGGAAAGCGCATTGGAAAATTAGTCCTGCTGGTCAACTCTGCAGAAGTTTCAGGACCATACAGTAAAAATAATACAGGGCACTTAATGAGCAACAGGGTCAAAGCAAAATATTAAGCAGCTGTTCAGTAAATGAGTAATTTCCAAATAAATGAAAAATGTAGTTTATGGCTGCATAATTAACAGATAACATTGTAAACCACTCACCTGCTGACTTTTAATTTCTTAACTTTGCAAGGGGAGGATTTTTGTTGTAGTGTAATGCAGTAGGGAATCACAAACGGATTTCAGGTAAACGCTTGATAGCTACATACACACAAAAATGCATTACCACGTGACTAGTTTTTAAAGATATTAATAAATATGAATGTACATACCTGTTCTTTTTCTTTCAACAGCTTCTCAAAAGCAAGAGCTTTTTCGTTCATTGAGTTAGACTCAAACTCTTTCTCTTTCAGCATCATTGAAAATTGCATATTAGTCTCCTGAAGCGCTCGGAATTCTGTTTCTTTTTCCCTATTTTTTTTACTATTGTTTCATTTTCTTCTTTCAGTTTTCGAATATCCATTTCTAAAATTAAATTTCTTTCTTTAAGATTAGTCACAGCTTGCTTCAAAAGCTCATTTTCATTTTCTTTGTTACTAAGATTTTCACTCACAGAAAGTAACTGATCACTTTTAGATTTAATTAATATGTCTTTTTCCCTAAGTGATTTCTGCAAGACATCATGTTTTTCTTTGATCTGCCGCATCTCTGACTCAGTCCCTTCTTGACTCTTTCTTTCAATCTCTGATGCTGTAGCCACAGAATCAGATAATCGTTGATTGTTTTCCTGAAGAGTCCTAATAGTTGAATCTTTTTCTTGCAACTTTTTTTTCAGTTGTTCCAACTCCTTCTGAAGGAGTTTAGACTCATCACTTAGTAATTCAGGAGTGCCTGAATGCTCTGAAACAGTGGAAGCCATTGCCACAGATGGTGTTACCAAATCAAGTTTACTCAGGAGAAGATCCTTGGTGTTATGAAGCTGTCCTATGCTGTTTTGAATTTGTGCTAATTCCTGACTGAAACTTTTCAGCTTTTTCTCATTCTGTTCATAACTCTGAATCAAGCCATTATAATCTACCTGCAACTTTGAATTACTATCGCTTTCAACTGAAATTTGTGCTTGAAGCTTATGTAACTCTTCTTGGAGGTGAGCTGACTCATGCTGCATATTCTGAACCGTGGTTATTACTTGCTGCTTCCACTCTTCCATCTTCTTTACTTGCTGTTTTAGTTTATCACGTTCTTGCAGAAGTTCCTCAAACTGGTTACTGTTAACACTTCCTGACCCGTTATCGGTACCTGTACTAGATGTCTGCAAGACAGTCAGTAAGGTTTGGCATTTTTGACTTAGAGCATCTATTTCAATATCTTTTTCTCGAATGATACGGGATAAATTCTGAATAGTTTCTCTAGACATGTCTTGACTGCTGTTTTCAGATCTATTAGATAACTTTTGATTCTCCTCTTGCAACCTTACCAAAGCTGCTTCTTTAGCAGCGACCATATCCATGATATTACGATACTCTGATTTTAACTGACTGTTTTCTCTTGTCTTTTCACTTAAAACTGCTAGTACTTGTTCTCTTTCCATAACATAAGCTTGCAGCTGCTGCTGAAGACAAAGAACATCCTGCCTATAGGAAGCTGAGGAAACTCTAGCATTGAGAGCTTGTATTTCTAAATCCTTCTCTTGAATGATCCGAGTAAGTTTGCCAACTTCATCCTTAGACAACTGATCAATTTGCTGACTTAGAGAAACATTCTTTTCATTTAGAAGCTTAATCTCCATCTCCCTTTCTTTGATACCTTTTACCAGTCTTTGAATCTCAGCTTTAGATAAGTCATGTTTTTCATTTCCATTTTCTCCATTAAGAGACTGAACTTTGGTTTCCTGAAAAAGATCAGAGGAATCAGTCTGAATAATCTGTCTCTCTTTGTGCAATTGAGTTTTAATTTGTTCAATTGTTTTCTGCAAATTTTTAATTTCCTCATCTTTCTCTAAAGAAAGTCTTTCATGTGTGACGTTCATTTGCTCACACTGAAATTTAGACTCATCTATTTCCTTTCTTTGCTCCTGCAAAGACTGCCGAAGTTGCACTGTTGTTTGAGTCTGATCTTCTATTGTTTTTTTGTGAACTTCTATTTCTTCTTCAAGATTATTCTTTATTACTTTTAACTGTGTTACCTCACTTTCAAGTTCAATGATAATATCTAGAGTTTTAGGCTCAACCACAGGTGTAGACCTACTTTGCTGATCCTTAAGGCGTTCAATTTCTTCTTTCAAATGATTATTTTCTTCTTTCATGACTGCAAGACTTCTGTCTTTTTCCTCCAAGTTCTGTTTTAAGACATCCTGCTTTTCTGAAACTTTCATATATTCCTCAAGTTCCTGCTTCACCTGTAAGGCTTGATTTTTTAATTTTTCAATAAATACCTCTTTTTCTTTTATGAGTTCTGTCAACTGCTTTTGTCCTCCTAAACTAGTAGTCAACATCTCTTTTGTTTCTTGATGGTCAGTTTCCATCTGCTCAATGCTCCTTTTAAGCTCAGCAATCTTAAAGTCTTTTTCTTGGTTGAGTTTAACCAGGCGCTCATGTTCAAGCTGCAATGCAGTGGTATCCATGCTACGAGCTTTTGATAATTCCTCAATAGTTTGCTTATACTTATGTGCTTGTTCCAAAAGCCTCTTTTCTGTCTGGTTTAATTCATTCTCTAACTGTCTTTTTTCCATTTTCAAAGCCTCCACAACCGTGTCTTTTTCCAAGTAAACTTTATTTTTCTCAGAAATGGCATCACTTAACTCCTGTTTTAGTTCTTCAGTGGCTGCTATCAGCTTTCCATTTTCTGTTCTGAGGTCAGACAAAGATTTCTCCAAATCTTCATTTAGATGTTTACCTTCTGCAATGTCATTCTGTAGTTTTGCAATTTCTACTTCTCTTTCCTTCAGAATCTGATCTTGACAAGTGTAGTTAGATTCCTGATTACTTTTTTCTGTTAACTTGCTCAAGGATACAGAAAGTTCCTCCTCTCTTTCTTTTAGTCTCTGCTGCAATTCTCCGATTTCTTTTTTATTACGGAAATTACAGTCCTGGGCTTTCCTTAATTGTTCCTGAAGATCTTTAATATGATCCTGAAGCTGCTGCTTACTTACATGCAAATCATTCAGTGCATATGAACATTGGCTTAGTTTTTCTTTCTGACTGTCTAACTCCTTAATAGTTTCCACCTTCTCAATTTCTAATTCTGATACTTTCTTTCTTTCAAAATCTATGTCAAATTTCAGCTGCTTGATGATACTATCAGTTTCTGTGTGTTGTTTTGACAGCTGCTCTTTCAGTGTAATCATATGCTGAAATGAACACAAGCACAAGTTTATTAGGACAGGAGAACCAGCCGAACTACGCATTTCATTAATTTTTATCCTCTGAACAACAGAAAAAAACAACTGAGGGGAAAGAAAAATGTTTCCTGGTTGCCAACATAATTTGGCAAGTAGTATCAACTAGTCAATGTAAGTTAATTAAAACCAAATATCAAACAGGGATAGATCACATGTCACTAAAACCAAAAACACCCTCTCCCTAAAAAACACGCTAACTACCTAAAAATCAAGGAACAAAAAGAGAACTACTTAAGAGAACTGTCAGAATTTGTCAGAGCAGTTGGAATAGGTATGCAGCAAACACCCATTACTTAAAAACAGGGAGGCACTAAATTTAAAATAATACATTACAGAAGTGAACGCATATCTGTATATTCTATTTTCAATTTCTTGTTTGAGCTTATTTTTAAAGACACTTGCCGGGATTCATTTCACAGGAAAACACTTTAAATCTTCAATTCCATAAAGTAAACCAATATTGAAAACACATGGCTTGCAATTGTGTTTACAGGTCAAATATATCACAACAGTGACAACAAGATAATTTTAAAGGTAACTTAATTATTCAACACAATTAAAAATAATGAAAAGAAAAAAGTTTAAAAAAATCATTCATGTTATGCATAGTGTCATAAGACAGAGATCAAACTATTAGCAGGATAAAAACTGTCAAAAGTCTTGCAAGGCCAAATCAAGTAGTATTTAACTGGACTTCACAAAGTAACATCTCTTACGGATAGCTGACATGCCATATTATTTATTTGTCCATAACAAGTGGGTTTCTTGCACTTCAGAATTTTGCACTGAGATGGCAGATAGAAAGAAACACTGGTCCAAATATTCTTTTTAAGTCTCAGAGGATAACTTATATTTCCCTGTTATCAACGCTCAAAGATAAGCTTAAAAGATAAACACACACAAATATAAACATTTATTTTAGCAGTTCAATAATTAGTTGCAATATTTATTACCTGAGTAGCTTCTTGATTCTGCTTGTCTAGTTCTTCCAACTCTGCTATTAATGTTTCTCTTTCAGCAATACTTTCATTTAATTCATGTTCTTTCCTCTCCAAATCTTGTCTTAACTGACTTAATTCTGAATTCTGATCCTCAGCGTACGCAGAAAGAATATGCTCATTTTTACGTTGTGCACTTGTCAGTTCTTTCTCAAGTCCCTCCTTAAAAAAAGATTCTAAATATTAGACTTCATCTTGCTGAAATTTATAAACTGTTTAGGTTTGAAACTGTTTCTTTTTTCCCCTCAACAATTAAAAGCAATGCATTCATTTTTATGTTAGAATCCCTAAGCCTACACGTGTATCATCCCAGTTAAAAATTCTTCATTGTGAAGTATTTGTCTCTCCCATCATACATGCACATATTTTCTCATCAAGAAGTTTAGGAGCACAATTTACACAAAAAGTCATGGTCTGACAAGCAAAGTTATATCCACCTCTGAGGTATGGATCCACAGCTGGGAAAAACTATTATGTCTCAAGAGATACGCTAAATATAGTATGCTGCATGGCAAGACAGGAAGTTTTAATCAAGGACACCCAAATAACATCCTTATGAAAAATGCCATGGGAACTCCTGAATGCATGCAAAACACAGAAGACCCCAACTGAAAAATACTACTGGATACAAAGTTAACTAAGCCAAATGTCTCAAGCCTGAGTTTATAAAGGACTAAGTCAACCTTGCCAAAAACTAAAGATGTGTTCCAGAGAAACTGTACGTTCTACTGCTTAACTTCATCAGTAAGATGGAATGTAGTATTATTAGAGTGCTACGTGGAAGAAGAGAGGTATTTTGCAACTGATAACAGTGTCAAAACTGAAATGTGCCAAAGTAGAAGAGGTGAAAAATGACAAATTTTACAGAACGTACTATTAATACTTTAAAAACATATGTTACAGCAGCATAAGAAGTAATGGGATAGGTGGAACTCCACAAGTTTTCTTTACCAGAGTATGCTGTGGAGTTTCACAAGTCAAAATGTATTGTTTCTGTCAATTTCACATGTAGTTATAGAATTAATCTACAATTATTTCCTTGATTACAAGGTTACTTATGTAGAAGTGTGAATACTCCAAAAACGTATAGTGCCAGAATGTGTGTTTTCCATCAGTTACTACTGCTATGAACTTTCTTGTTGGCTTAATTTAGAAATTGCTTTACCTGATTTAAACTTGAAAGTCTTGCTATTTCATCTTCTGCTTCTATAAAGGAAAACAAAAAATACATAATTTTACTACTTTCCAAACAACAATAAAAACAAATCATTCTCCCACCTTGCCCCAACAGAACTCTGCTACTCAGAAGAGAATAGTTTCACAGTATTTTGAGATGATAAGCATTAGTGCTGTAAAAGATTCAAATGCACAGTCGATCACCACCACAAAGGAGAGTATTACTTTTACAACTGAGTTCACATTAGGAGGACTTCGGTACTACAGTGTATCAATTATGCAATATAAAATATTTTCTACATACAGATATACTTCTTAAACACTGAAACATACCTGTTTAACAAGATATTAGCAGCAGAGTGCCTTTATACACAAAAAAGTGTACTTTTAGAATTTAAACAAACAACTTCCATTGAGGCTTACTTAAAGAAAGAAAAACCTGTCAAACAGTTGGCAGACATGATTACTCACCTAATCAGAAACCCCTGTGATAATCATTCCAGTCCTAATTATGTCTCCTTTTCTGCTCAGCCTGACCTCAATTGACAACCCTTTTCTACAGCAGCAACTCTTAAAAGGTACATATTCTCACACTCGGTTCCAAATTCTTAAAATAAAATCTGAGCTTTAAAAGTGAAAATCTGTGAAAATATATTAAAACTAAAAAAAAATTTTAAAAAAAATGATCATCTTTGTACCTAACAGTGCTTGCTGTAGTCTGACAACATCTTCTGGTAGCGATGTCTTTGATTGGAGCTTCTTCTCCTGTTCTTTCAGGAGAGCATCTTGCTCTGCAACAGAACTTTGAAGCATAGTAAAGTCAGATTTAAGATTTTCATATTCTTGTGTTATTTGGATTTTTTCTACCTTTGCCAATTCTTGCTCTTTCATAAGAAGTTTGTTTTCTTCTCTGGCAGAAGACAATTTGTGATTTAATTTTCTTATTTCATCCTCTAGGTCCTTTACAACCTGCAACTCTTCTACTTTTCCTCCTTTTAGACCCTGAGCATTTTTCTTCTGTTCGCTAATTTTAGTGTCATCCATGGCATCAGCGCTCACACCATCTAAAAAGCAAGAAAGATTGTTTGCAATATTAACCAAAGCCAGTAGTGCAATCTTTTGCTTAAAAGTCTCTTCTTCCACCCCTTCTGCTGTCAGAGGGAGATGGTCTAAACCAAAGACATGATCATCACCAACAGAAAGCTTACTTAAATAGAATTAACATTTGAAGCAGTGCTATACATATTACTGGTTTGATAAGCAGCTTTTCAAATATTTACACATCCCTGGCTTGAAATAGTTTTAAAAAGTGTTGCAAGACATCCATTGTTCACAATTTAATTAAAATGTACTCGACTCCTATCTCTCTTGGTGAGGAGATGACAATCTAATTTATCAGGATTTGGAATCCCTCAATTTTCTAAGAATAATTTATCAAACCCTATCTAATTCAGCCTGATGCAAAATCCTTGTTTATAATTTAATTAATGAAATTTCAAAGGTTTGCTGAATGATTGTCACAGTGAACAATTTGCTAAAAATTAGTACATCATTTGCTAAATAATGCACAAAGTTTTTCACCTAAAGATCTCATTTTGCAAAATAGATGTTTTTTACAGATCCACCATACTATCATGACATTCATAGTTCTGCACAATCCTCACAAGGTAATTTCCAGGTAAGTTACAGAGTATAAAAAGGTGTAAACAAAAATGTAAAGAAAAAAAAGTTAAATGAAAGTACACTGCTTGTGAATTCATTTCAATATAAGCTCAAATACTTCCCCTCACCCCAGTCTGTATTATGTTGTCAAACAGAACCAACAAAATAAAAATATAAAATACTCTAATTCTTCAAAAGCTGTTAGCAGTATTTGTTTTAAAGATAACTTGTAATGCAAAAGATACGGGATTCCTGCCTTTGACTTCATTAGTCCTGCTGGTGTACATACCTGCAGTATATACAGTATGTGCAGTAAAAGGCAGATTACATCTTAACAGGCATCTGATTTTAAGAAATAAATTCCCTATCAGTACTACCTTCGAAACTAAAAGGCTGTGAAAATATTTCCCTTATTTCAAAGAAGAAAATGGATCTCTCTTTCCAAAAAGAGAGTACACACTCTTTAGAAGTCTGAGTTTGAACAGTTAATAAAATAGAGGTTTACAGGCAAATCTTACACGTTTGTGCAAAGCAGCCCCTAAAGGAAACCTAACTGGCATGACTATTTTCATGGAATACAAAATACCTACAAGACCAAGCGCTAGGTCCTGCACTTGGGTCACAACAACCCCATGCAATACTGCAGGCTCGGGGAAGAGTGGCTGGAAAGCTGCCCGGTGGAAAAGGACCTGGGGGTGTTGGTTGACAGCCAACTTGAACACGAGCCAGCAGTGTGCCCAGTTGACCAAGGAGGCCAAAAGCATCCTGGCTTGTATCAGAAACAGTGTGGCCAGCAGGACTAGGGATGTGTAGTGAGGTCCCCTCACTACAAGAAAGACATTGAGGTGCTGTAGCGTCTCCAAAGAAGGGCAATGAGGCTGGTGAAGGGTCTATAACACAAGTCTTATGAGAAGTGGCTGAGGCAACTGGGGTTGTTTAGCCTGCAGAAGAGGAAGCTGAGGAGAGACTTTATCGCTCTCTACAACTACCAGACAGGAGGTTATATTGAGGTGGGGGTCGGTCTCTTCTCCCAAGTAACCAGCGATAGGACAAGAGCAAATGGCCTCAGGTTGCACCAGGGGAGGTTTAGATTGGATATCAGGAAGAATTTCTTCACCAAAAGGGTTGTCAGGCATTGGCACAGGCTGCCCAGGGAAGTGGCAGAGTCATCATCCCTGGAGGCATTTAAAAGGCGTGTGGATGTAGTGCTTAGGGACATGGTTTAGTGGTGGACTTGGCCATGCCAGGTTAACGGTCAGACTCAATGATCTTAAAGATCCTTTCCAGCCTAAACAATTCCATGATTCTAAGACAATGAAAAGCTCCTTGTGAGAACTACTGAGCTTTTCCTACAACCTAGTCATGCCACAGACTAAGGTGTGGTCCTTAGGGCAATCTTTGAGCTTTTGTCAGGTAACCCAATTGGCACATAGTACTTCACACCAAAAATTATTTTTGTGCTGAGATTTTCTTAGCTTCAACTTTGCATGTCTCGTCCACACCTATATTCAGTGCAAGATAAAAAAACAGGAAGTGTAGAATTTAGAGCACAACATTTGATATGTATAGAATCATAGAATCATAGAATCAT